GCCAAAAGTCCCAGTACAAGCCGTTCGAGCATGTCTGTGTCTCGTCTGCTGGATAGCAGTCACCCGTCTGTGGGTCGCAGTCGCCCCCCATGCAGCTGCAGGGCTCGCAAGGGCTGAACGCTCCTTCCGTCGATCTTCGCCGTTTGAAACCCGCTGAGCATTGCTGACAGAAGTCGCCCTCATATCCCGAGGGACAGACACAGGTCCGCACCCAGTGGGCTGGGCTGCCCTCCCCTCGCCTCGCCGAGATCAGATTGACATTGTCAAGGTAACCACGTCCTAGAAACAAACAACAGTTGAAGAGTGCACCGGCTGGCTGATCCAAGATCCGACGGTAGGAGCTCACCTCTGTCTCCGAAGGTGGCTCGTATCTTGATGGTGCTCAGGTTCTGGAGGAGAGTCTGGAATTGGAAAGGGGTGAGCTGAGGCCGCCACCTGCTGCCGGGCTGCTCGTCCAGTCTGATGCCACAAAAAGAGAGACCACGACACATCACTCGATCACATGCCATCCAATTCCTCAGGATTATAGTTTGCGCTTGGAGGGGGATGCTGTGTCCATCTTAAACTCATTCACTCCCAAAGACGTTTTTAAACGTCTTTTCAGACTTGGTCTAGAATTAGCTGGTACTGAATGAGTTAACTGCTGAGTCGATGGGAGTTGAACACTGATGATGGGTGAGCCAATTATTCTACTTGTATGTTTATTGAACCAAATCCGCAGCCGAGGAGTTTAGTCCCACAGTGTTTGCGTTTCATGGTTGTATTTCACGGTCAACGGAAAGTTTCTACCCCACGCTCAACCCACTGCATTCTCAAAGCCACACACACACACACACACACACACACACACACACACACACACACACACACACACACACACTCTTACTAATAAGCAAGACCACTTCTCCTGGTGATACCGCCAATCACTAAGGTGGTAAATCGGGTGTGCTCTCGGTTCGTGCACAACACACAAGCATGCAGCCCAGGCAGGAAGAAGCCAACAAAAACACTTCTTATTTATTATTCTCCTACAGGTGCCAAAAACTGATTTTCTTGTCTTGCCCCACCCAAAACACCTCAAAAGTGGGAGCCAGATATAAAGTGCCAAGCCTTTTCATCAACAGACTACTGTATTTGTAACCCCAAATAGTTTGCGTGCCAGCCCACAAATAAAGAGTCACATCAAAGTCAATCTTCTGTGATCAGACTATTTCTGAAGGGAGAGTAAGTCTATGAGCGAGCCCTTCTGCAATCGCGGCCCTCTGTCACGCGCCAGGAATAACGAGCCCACCACTGGGTTTTTCAATGACTGACACACAAGTTCTCACAAAAACAGCGATGGCGTTGTCCTCCTCCAGTGTTTTTAGGCATTCCACGTTTTTCCTTTGTGCCAGTAAGTTACCGTATTGACCCGAATATAAGACGGTGTTTTTTGCATTGAAATAAGACTGAAAAAGTGGGGGTCGTCTTATATTCGGGGTCGAGACATGATACCCATTCACGACGCTAGATGACGCCAGATATCATTGAAGCGAATGCTGAACTTGATACAATTTCAGTGGCGCCAGACATTAAAATGAAGATTTGAAGGAAACATGGTGGTTTGCAGCTTCATTTAATTGAGACGCAAGGGAAAAAAACACATCTCATTTAAAAGTTGGGAAGTGCTGCGAGTCATGACTGAACCACGCGAGCGGTGCAAATTCCTGGTTTGTTTCTACTTGCCACCTGGAATGTTCCTATATTTCCCCGAACAAGCTCCTGCGGCAGCCGGAATCTGATTGTGTTGGCGGCATTCTCACCTGAAGGTGTAGTTGATCTTCTGTCCGCAAGGAACGATAGAGCGCAGGTCGCCCAGAGAGGCTGATACCCGATGACCGGAACCTTCCAGAATGACGTCGTTGATGGACGGGTGTCTGATACCGCGGTCCAGACGCAGTGAGAAGGACAAGTTGTGACCGTAACTCAGCAACTTGTTGCCCAGGTAAGAAGCTGCGGAAAAGACAAACTTCATGCGGTCTGGAGGACAGGAAGTCTCGGGAAGTGCCAGGGTTGGGGTTGGGCATAGGCCCAAGCGGGTTGAGGTCTGTTCACACCTGGCGCGTACAAGTAAACTGGCAGACTGTTTCTGGAGATCACCTCCATGTCCTTGTAGTTGGGGGACCAGCGGGAGTGGACGTCCGCTGGGGTTAAGCCATGAGACGTTGCCGCCTTCCAGCCGTCGGGGCCTGAAAACAGGACCTATCAGGTTCCTTCCAACGGGCTTTAATTACGAAAGCTTACCGTGCTCAAAGGTGGACGAGATATTGTGGACGCTGTACGTCGACTGAGGAGAACATTGGCTGCTGTGGCCGTAACAGAAACAGAATGCACTCCCAGAATCTTCTCTGGATCGTCGTCTGCAAGGAAGAAGAATGGAAACAAGAACAAGAGAAAATAGAATAAAGAAGACAGGTTGAGCTGAATTATTTCAGTTGTATTTTTGTTGTTGTTGTTGTTGTTGAAATGTCATGTTTTGGTGTTAACCTTGGTGAACATCCTTGGGGCCCGATGGGCCCATTGGGACAGAGGTCACACTTTGTTCCAGTGACTCCTTCTCTGCAGGCACAGCGCCCCCTGCTGTCACACCTGCTGCTCACAGAACCTAGAGAAACACCAGGAATCATTGACTCATTCCTAACTCCATAGTCACACATTAAGGGAATCTTACGTAGTTGATTTACTTTCGCTAGTTCCCTAAAATGTCCACTAAAAATCCTGTGTAGTGAGTACGGGTGTCGGGAATGAGCGACCAGATGATTGAATGACATCATTCCGAATGCTGCGACTGCGTTCAGAATCCTTTACTCATTCCCAGCTCCCGAATCAGTACAACGGCATTTTCATGAACTATCTACGTCCACTATAAAAAGAAGCCGTGCATAGCAATTAGATCCCAGACGTCTGCTATTCTACTTGTTTTAGAAGTTTCCCTCTTTCAAAACACCTCATTCGAACGATTAGCTCCATCAGCGAATTCCGTAAGTGCTTGGTAACGATCCTGATCATTTGAATGAGGTGTGTTGGAAGAGGGAAACTTCTAAAACAGGCACTTTCCAGGACCGGAGTCACCTACCGGTGAATTAGGTGTCGCGGATGAGCGAATGATTCTGAATGGAATCATTCACTTGTTCCAGACTCCCTAATAACCATGTCAGGATTTTTACATCGTGGACTGTACAGTTGATGACTCGAAGGTTTAAATGATTAACCCAAACACTCCCGCATCGCTTTATGGACATTTTTATATCATGGAGTGCATAGTTGACACTTAGGTTGAAACAAGCTAATCACTGGATGCGTCATGGATAGGGAGGGGTTCCCAATGGAGCCTTGAATGTTGAGCTTTGGCGGAACCCTCACCTGCGGGGTGGCAGCCACACGGTGTGCAGCTGAGAGTCGCTCCCTGTTGGTAGAATCCATCTTTGCAACGTTCGCACTGCCGACCTTGGCTGTTTCCCGAACAGTCCACGCAACGAAGACCCCGGGCATCGCGCACGCACACGCTCGAGCGGCCGTTGCACTCGCAGCGAAGCGCTATCAAACACCACAAAACAAACACGCCGGTTATCGGGAGCGGAATCGTGACATCGACTGGCGACCACTGAATTTTTGTTTGTTCAGCTTTACTTTGGCGACCAGTCAATTGCCTATTTGTACCCTGACACAGGCGACCAGTTCTTTGTTTGACTACTACGACATTACCTAGCAGCTTGTAATTTCTTTGTGTGCCCTATCACTGGCGACCAGTCCATCATTCGTCTACAAATGCCCTGAAATTGACCGGTCATTTTCAACACTTGACATTGGTCAGTAATTTATTTCTAAAAAAATAACACCCACACACGTGGATTGACCAATGGTCCAGATCTGTGAAAAAAAAAATGGTGACCTATATCGTAGCGTTCCTACAGCAACTTGCTCATGTCTCAAACGACTTCCAAGTTGCAGATTTGCGCATCCATCTGGAAATCTGGACTTCCTCAGATGACTCATCACAGCATAAAAATTCAAGTGGGAACTTTTCCGAAAGAAGGTTGCCTAGCTTACAAACCACTCAACTGAAGTTGTGGCAGCAACACATGGGAAAAAAAATGAAAAAGAAAAAAAAAGGCTTCCATCAAAGTAAGCTCTTTTGAATGAACGCCGTTGACAAGTATTTTGCAATATTCCATTTCTTTTGATATTTCTATTTAATTTTTTTTTGTTTATTATTATTAGTGCATTCCCAGTGCAAATGGGGCAGAGCGACCTTTTCTCTCAAGTCTGCTTCTTTCGCTGGTGAAACTCGGCATCATTTTGCTTTCAAGTGCATCGAGATAAGGCTTCAAATCCTGAGGAGGGGCCAATTTCATCACGTCATTTAAATGGCTGGCAGTGCGTTCTCCGGTGGACAAAATGAACAACAGCAGTCAAGTTTTTTTTGAAAAGTAACAGTTCATCAGTTCTGGATTTAACCAACATTTTTTTTTTTTTTCACCCTGTGGCGGGCACCTGCTCGAGACTGGAACCCGAACTGCCATTGCGGCACCGGCTCGGAAAAGAGAGCGCCAACCGCTGAGCTAAAAACCAGTGCCAAGATCCATGACAAGGACCCCTTTTTGAAGGCTTCTACGATTCTTTTTCCAACAAACTATCGACTGCTTTGATTCTACACTTTCTACTTTTTTTGACAGTCTACCTTTACGACGTCTACTCTTATTGCGCTTCCTGGGAGCACGACATTAACTAGGAATACTCCAGTAATTGTGAGAACACTGTCAGGATCTCTTTGAAGTGTCCACAATTGTGGACTAGAAAGTAAGTTCAAGATCACGTTCTGGTTCAAAGTGCACACAAAAGTTCAGTCGAGTTAAGTCCGGTGATTATGACACAAAAAAAACAAAGACGCCGCGCTCGCGACAACAAGCAAGTTGAGTCGAAAGGTCAAGGGTCAAGTTGTAATCCGGCCAAACAAGATAGTAGCCTGGCTGATGTTATCGTGGTAAGATGAAACAAAAGTTACTTACTTTCGGTCGCCGTGGCGACACTAAAAGCAAAGAAAACTGCGCAGAAGGAAATCCTCATGTTGACTTCTTCATACCGCGCCTTCAAATCCTACTCAAAGTCACACACACTCTGCTTTTAAAACATATGCGTGTGTCCACGGCATGTCCGGACACGCCAACCATACTGACACACAGACACATAGACACACACTCACACACACATACACGTACGCGTGTGCTGGCATGAGTGTGTGCTGGGCGTTGCTCTAGGTTTTTACAGCACCTTCAACTCCCCAACATGTCTACATGAGTACAAGTTCCCTTCCAAGCTGGATTCATACAGACGTGACAGACAAACATGATGAAATACCACAAATATTATGAACTTGATGATCATGATGAGTTTAATGAACTATGTGGCAGAGTCTTCCGGCCGAACGAGTTTGAAATTCCACCTCTGGCAAAACTTCGACGAAGGCGGAGGACTTTTAGGACATCTATGGGCCTGTCGTGGTGGCAATTCTAAAACCCGTTTGTGGACGCTGGCAGTAAGGGATGCCGTCAATCTGAAGAAGGAGTCCTATCCCTGTGGGACTCCGGAGGCAGCTGATTGTAACCGGCTGGCCGAGCAGAATTCTGCTTTGACAATTTCTGAGGTGACAACTCATAACCGGGAGGAATGTATCGACGCTATGACCAAGAACTTCTAAACGACTTCAAGGGAAAGCAGTGCACCATCAACCCCGTGTATGGCGGAGATGGCGCGCCTCTCACCATGACTCATGACCTTGAGAGCCTGTGGGGAAAATACTTCTAAGAACTCCTCGATTCCACGCCTTCCTATGACAAAGCAGTGTCTGGGCACTGGGGCATGTTCTCCTATCCCCAGGCGAAATCACAGAGGTGCTTAAAAAGCTCCTCAGTGACGTGGACCCAAAGGTAGATGAGAGCCAGCCAGAGTTCTCAAAAGCTCTGGATGTTGTGGGGCTGTCCTGGTTGACCCCCCCCTCTGGATATTGGGGACGGAGCCTCTAAACAGGCTGGGACTGAAGGGGGTATTCCAACTACAGCCTCGGTGATAAAGTCTATTTGGGGTGCTGGTTATGAGGGTCCATTGGGAAGTTGAACCGCTGATTTAGGAGGCATCCTCAGCAGGTTCCTCGATAGCACATCCGAGTTTGCCCAACCAGTCGAGATGTGCTTGGAGGACTTTGAGAGTTTTGGAGGTTGTTTAGGGAGTACAGAGTACCAAATTCGGGCTGTTCAATCACATGAAGCTAGAGTGAAAGATTGGTCGTCATTGCCGGCAGTAAGTCGGATTCATTTCAAGTGAATGTTGGACGCCGCCACGGCTGCCCTTTGTCACCGATTCTGTTCATAATTTTTATGGACAGGATTTCTAGGCAAAGCCAAGGCGTTGAGGGGGCTGGCTTGGTGGCCTCAGTGTGATGTGTCTGGTTTTAGCAGACAATTTGGTTCTGTTGTGTCGAGCCATGATATTCAACTCTCACTGGAGCAGTTTGCAGCCCGGTGTGAAGGGGCTGGGATAAGAATTAGCGCCTCCAAAATTTGAGACCCTCGTACTCGATGGAAAAGAGTGAAGTCTCCACCTTTGGTTTGGGCATGAGGTCCTGCCCCATGCGGAGGAGTTGTCTTGGTCACACGTGAGGGGCGGATCTAGCGAGAGATGGACAGGCAGATTGGTGCACTGATGCTGACTCTGTATGGGTTCGTCACGGTAAAGAAGGAGCTAAGCCGAAAAGCGAACCTCTCGATTTACCGGTTGGTCTATGTTCTGAGCCTCACCGATCATGACCCACGGCTCATGACCCAAAGAACAAGATCTTGGATGCGAGTGGCCAAAATGAGTTTCTTCCACAGGGTGCCTGGGCTCTCCCTTAGGGATAGGGTGAGAAGCTTGCTCATCCGGGAGGGGCTCAGAGTCCAGTTGCGCCACTGCTTCTCCACGTCAAACACAGATAAATGAGGTGGCTCGGGCATTTGGACACAGAGGGGTTGTGGGCACGCCCCTCCAGGAGTAGGCCCCATGGACTACCCGAGACAGGCTACGGGGACTGTGTCTCATGCCCCATGAAGAGCTGAATGACAGCACTGGACAGAGGCAAGACTGGCCTCAATTTGATGAAAAGGAAAAACATGGCCAACATGACGACAACTTTCGAAGCATTCTAACATGATTAGCATGATAAACTTGATAAAAATAAGGTTGATGAACAACATGAAAAGGGCGGCAAACGTGACAGAAACGACAAATGTGATTTAGTCGATTAACAACAAACGGGATAAACGTGATGAGCAGGACAACCAAGACAAACATGAATCACTTGATAAACATGATAAATGTGAAGAGCGGGACAAACGTGACAAACACGAAAAGTTTTGTCTGACAAGCGGACAGGAAGTGACACACACATGCACAAGGACAGCTCATCAATGTTTCAAGTCAAGTTAGACAAGCCCAGCAAAACACATTCCGTTATGTTTGTGTGGACATGAGGGAGCCCACTAGTGCCAGCACACGCACATGCACACACGCGCGCGCGCGCACACACACACACACACACACACACACACACACACACACACACACACACGCTACTCACGCACTCTGATACACACATGCATTTACTCAAGATTTACTCATGCTTACACACACACACACACACACACACACACGCACACACACACACACACACACACTCCCCACAAGTCTGAACAACGCGCTCACGCCCAACCTGGTTATCATAGCAACGCCACACCCTGAGCACTCACACTCTCACACTCACGAATCGTGTACTTAGTGGGTTGGGGTGGCGGGGAGTCGTTGGCGCCCCCTACAGTTAAAACATGGAAATCCAGTCCCAATTATTGTGCGTGGAGGTTTTTCCTGAAGGGGGCGCCACGTTGCTGCCCTGCTTTTCTTTGAACTCCAAAACCATGCTGGTCTGTGCTTTATTTTGTTATCGTCATGAAAAAAGGGGTCGTTAACGAAATTATTCCGTCATCGTTGACGAAACCTCTGGACATCATAAAAATAAATTATGAAAAAACTTGTTTTAAAAATTCAAATGAAGTACGTACTTATTTGTCAACCTGATGTTGTCTGATGACCAATCTACTAATTAATTGTCCATATGTGCCATGAGAGTGACGACCAGTGCATTGCAACTCAAGTCAGACAAAAGCACAATTTATGTAAACAAAACGATATAAAAACTTTATTCAGCCAAAACCTAAGCACAACATAACATAAAAATATTGAATACTTATGTGCCTAATGAGCATGAGCTGCAGGTTGATGTGGCCCTCATGTCTGAAATGATCGCTCCAAACTTGTTGACGTCGGCTTGCGTCTTTGGTGCTAGCCTCAGCTAACATTAGCTTCCAGTTGCAGGCCACCCGCACGAGTCACACTGACTTGTGGGTAAAGATGGCAGCAGGAGAGGTAGGAACAATTTAGACCAAAGAAGAAGAAATCCAAATAACCATGAAATGCTCAGGAGCTGTCGTGAAATGTGGAGGACGAACAGAGGGAGGCGCTGTTGTTCAGTTGATGCTCAGCATGTTCCTGATGTGTTTGGGTGTGGCCTCGTCGTTCAGGTGCTTGGTGGTGTACCTGTAGGGGTCAAGAGTTCAACATGTTGGCCAATGGTGAGCGAGCAGCAAGTTGGGAAGTGCAAAGTGTTGACCTGAGCGCGTCCAGTAGACCTTCCACGCTGCCTGCAGGCTGCTCCCGAAGCACCCGGATGCAGCCTTTCATCTGCACGCAACCGCAATCATTGGCTTCATCTTCTTCCCATGTGCGCCTGGGTGCGCATGTGCGCATAAGGTCTTACGTCAATGTTGGAGGTCTTGACGAAAGCTCCGGCCGGGTGCACGTGGTCGTAGAGGATGATGACGCCCACCATCACCCGCAAGCAAAACAGCAACGTCTCCTCACTGGTGAAACGACTTCTGTACTCTCTGCGCGCGGACACAAAGTATATCAATTTTCAAAAGTGGTCAGGGGGACGGCCGGCGGCGATGAGGGCCTCACGGTGTTTCCAGCATGACTTTGCACACGCTGGCCATGGTGCTCAGACAGTCGGTGGTGTTGTCAACGGGAACCTCAGGATTCTGTTTAGGCACGATACGCTCACGTCACGTGTACGTCGAGTTTTATTTGCAGAAATACCCAACGCAGTACTAACATCGGCGACAAACTTGATGGTGGCGTCGCTGAGAGTCTTCAGCATCGGCGTGGCGCTGGCGTAGAACAGAGACATGCGATTGGCCAGCTCGTTGTTGACTTCCGCGTCCGCATCGCCCTGAAGGACGAGTGCACTTGGAGGTTACGCAGACGACGATGAGGAGGCACAGCGCGCCTGCCTGCCTGCCTGAGCGCGCGTGCGTGCGTGCACGTGTGCTTCTTACAGATAAGTTGTTGATGCGCATGCGGCTGATTGTTCGTCTGTAGTAACTGAAGTCATTCTGAATGGCCGGGATGGTCATCTGCAACATGCGGCGGCAACGTGATGAGGAAGACGAAGAAAAACGACATGTCGGGAAGGTGAGGGTGAATATGAAGAAGGAAAGCATGATGACTAAGAGGATGACGGAGGGAGAAAGGTGAAGGCGCCGAGACCTTGAGCTCGTCGAATCTTAGCGTGAAGTGCAGGATGAGCGCAAACTGCCTGGCCAGCGCCTGTTTGTTCTCCAGCTGCTGGGTGGGCGGGGCTTCGGGACCGGTCAGGATGTCCAGTAGGCAACGCAGACTCTGCTCTGATTGGACAACACGCAGAAGGAGACGTGCTTAAAAAACATTCGGGAGTGAAGCAATGAGTCGGCAAGTGAGTGAACAAATAAATGGAAGAATGGATTAGCAAATGAATGAACGAGTGAGTGAGTGAGTCAGTGAGTGAGTGAGAGAATTCATGCATGAATTACCGAGTAAGAGGGACATTGGAGTAAACGACAGAATTGCTATCAATCAGCAAATGAACGGACAAAGGACTAAATAGGTGATTGAATGAATGAATTGAATTTTAGTGAGCAAGCGAGTGAAAGCATTACCGAGCTTGTGGGAGAACTCATAGAAGCGTTTGAGTTTAGCAACGAGGGGGAGAACGGCAGACCAGGCCTTCTCCTGAACGCCCTCCTCGCTGGGACTCTGGATGGCCTGCGCATGCACATGTGCACAATTGACTAGCGCACGTTCACACACGCACTCTGTGCATCCATTAGCGGGGTGCGCATTACCAGCCGGATTTCCTCGCCAGCTCCCGTGTAGGCCTGCAGCTCGTCCAGGATGACCTGAGCCTCCGTCAGCACCTTGTCCACCTTCTCCCAAGCCTCCTTCTCTGACAACGATGCCTCCGCATCTGCACACACACACACCATATAACTCACACTATACGTGTGTGTGTGTGTGTGTGTGTGTGTGTGTGTGTGTGTGTGTGTGTGTGTGTGTGTGTGTGTACATGATTGTGCATGTGCATGCGTGTATCTTACTCTCAAAGTCTAAGAAGAAGTTTCCGGCGTTGTTGTCGATGTCTCTGCTCAGCACTTTGATCAAGTTCCCCATTCTCGCACATACAAAACCTTGCAAAGCGTTCAACAAAATGATTAGACAAAGTCCATGTGGTATTGACCTTTTGACCATTTCTACATTATTACATGAAACTCATGAATAATTTTCACTTCTCCAAAAAAAATGTGCAAAACTTGTACTCTTGTAAACGCTTGGCAACACCCCTCAAAACTTTACCGCAACACACTAATTTGCATCGGCATTATTTCACCGAAAGGTTCAGAGATTAACTCTTGTAAGTTCATTTACTTTGTAGAAGCGAGTCCTGATTCGAGTTTCAAGCCAGGGTTTGGCTTGCCAAAAAGGCTTTTTCAGGTAAACGGACAAAATGAAAGTTGACTTGAAAGTAAAAGAAGCGGCACATCATTTGTTGGATTAAATAAGTGCTTTCCAGCAAAGTGATTCACGATTACCGTGTTGGAAACACAGAATGACGGGCATGTGACAGACTGAGAGAATACGTTCAAGTGAGAGGAGTGCAAAGAGTGAAAGAGGAAGTGATGATGTGTGAGCTAAATTTGAATGAGAGGAAGTGAAGCTGACTGGTTTTAAGTCAGGTGTTTGGTCTGCATCAAGGAGTCACATCTCTGCAGTATTACACATATACGGTACTCGTATATGTTATGCGTAGTTTTTACATCATTCTAGCTAGCATGTTCTCTTCAAAAAATATATACTGTATCTAATTTTGTATCTTTGTTTGAAACTTGGAACTTGGCAAAAGGTCAAAAATTTCAAGGGGGGCTAATACTTTTGCAAGGCACTGTTTTAAATTTCATTTTCGTTTTAGTGCTCAGGTTCATTCAAATTTGTCATCTTTTCCCAAGTGGAACACAATTGTGAAGCGGCACAAAGTTGAAACACATTAAAAAAAACTGAGAAGGAGGTCATCCAAAACCATACTCAAAATCAAGATGGGTGAATAATTTTGCACGCCCCACTTCTCATTTTTTATTTATTTATTTATTTTTTAAGCCTACAATAATGCAAATTTAATTCCACTTCACAAATGCTTGCCACTTGGGGGTTGATTCGTCACAAAAAGTCCAATTTTAGGGCTTTTGTTTGAAGCCTGAAATGAGGCAAGGGCGGGGAGGGGAGGGGGGGGGGATTCGCAAGGCACTTTATGTAAATATGTAACTATATCACATCGCAGTTTTGTTGTGCCTGTATTTGTATTTGTTGCTTTCGTATTCTGTGCACTCTGCAGAAAGGTCTGCATTGCCAATGACAACCTTACCTGCACGATAACTTACATAAACTCACAAATCAAATGACAATGATTTTGTCATCATGAGAGGCCAACATGCTGCGCACACACACGCGCACGTTGTGACCAGATAACAAAAAAATCAATAGTCTTGAAGTCATCGTGATGTATTTCAACTGCAATTGTTATTCGTCATTATACTGTATTCCGAAACCTTTATCAGTCCCACAATAAGTGTTTTTTTTTAATTATGCATTTTATTACGAAACGGAATGCAATATTTTGGCACAAAATCCTGACACTTGTGTGTTTCAACGTGCATTTTGGTGACTAATGTATTATTACGCTAAACAGGTGGCGAAAATGCAAAATGTGGACAAGATGCAATTTTACAACAAGCAGTTCCTAATATTTGGCCGTCATAATATTAGGAACGCGAGAAGATGGTGTCGCAAATGAAGTGGACGCCGAGTTGTGTGCTGTCTTGTAACCGGAAGTGTGCGTCTGCATTCATGTTGCTGATGGGACCGCCAGCCGAAACTTTTTGCTCCATCAACAAATCGCAACTTTTGGAGCACAAAGACTCCACTCGGAACTTGGTTGTCGAGTCTCAACAGGACCTGACGAGTCTCAACCGGCGCGACCCACCCAGACCCAAACCCGCAGAGACCCAGACCGAGACCTAAATGCCGACCACCATCCCCACCGCGGTGCTCACCTTCGCCGATCGGCGCGTGATCGAGGCGGGATCGGTGCGGGTTCGACGGGTTGGCTTTGGCGGGTCCAGGTGATCCTACATGCCGACAACCCGGAAGTGGGCGACTCGGCGCTGCGCTCACTATAAAAGGAAACGTTTCCTGAATGAGCGACCAATCGGCGGAGGCGCGGGAGCCACGACGTCAGCGGAACGTGAACGCCTCATCAAGATCATCAGAAGGCAACACGACGAAAGGAACATGAACGCCACGCGACGGGAAAGTCGACGTAGCATCGGTCACCCCAAAACAAGCACAACTAACAACAACACTACTTCGATTTATTTTAGAAAAATATATTTCTTCACTCAAACAACACATCATCATCATCATCATCATCATCATCATCATCACAACAATGTTTTGTGAAAACAATTACGGTTTCAAAACTGTTGCAGTAATGAAGTTTGTCTCCGCCACTCTGCTTCTCCCTGCCGGACGAAAACAAGAATTACAGTACATTGTGCATGGGGGTGAAGTGTTCGGAAAATCTATGGCTCATCATCTAAACGTTCGCGTCGTAAAGGCGCTGACAGATTCGATGAAATGATACCAGTACAATCTAAATTTAATGAAATCAGGAGGAACTGAATGACATCAGATTACATTAAATGTTACAAAGTAAAATTGAATGAAAGTAAATTAATTTATGTGAAATGCAATTTCGATTAAGTGTAACAGGGCCAGAAAAAAACTTACTGTACTCTACTACAATTACACAAATTGTGTGAAATGATATTTACCTGATGTGTTCTTTAACTATATCTTCCATTATCTACTTCAATAATTAGTGTGGCTATATGTATAACAACACGTAATACAAATGTCTTCAGCTCGTAATTATTAATATAAATGTGAAGTTTGGTAATTGTTTTGGAGCACATACAGGTTGGATATAAAGCATTTCCTGTTTTGTGGCGAATTAATAATGTGTCGTGGCTAAGTCCAATTTAGAGCCTGAAGTTGGAGGTTGAGTGTATTGACACGCTTGTGAAATAAATTCTTCGCCTTTGTGTTTAGGTGTTTTATTCGCATACGTTACTGTTATTACAAGTGTACAAAATGCCCAGAAATATTTTCTATCCTTTCAAATCAGTAAACAAGCAACATGACGAGCTCACAGTCCAAGGACTGTCTCGTTCCTTCAGTCTGTTTGGACACCTGCGATTGAAGGATCCCTTCCAACTGAAATAGCTTTGTGAACGGATGTAATGGTGACATCTAGCGGCCATGTTGGGGAACTACATATGTATATGAAATGGCTATACTGTACTGTACATTATAAAATACATAATTTGAGGCCCCTCTCTAGTCATATGGTACGTTGGACAACTCAATATTTTTATCCTTGTTAAAGTCGCAGGTCTTGAAATGGTTCAGATCAAGGTTGAAGTCAATCGGATCAAGCCTGCAGGACAAGACAGGCAAATAATTTGGAAAAGGGGACACTTACTCGGGACCCAATTAACCAATAAAAATCAGACATTGCTTTTGAATTGTGGTTTTATAGAATTATTTTTAAAACAACCTCACGAAACAAGTCAAGACAAAAATGATGGTAGCCCTGAAAAAGATTGGAAATAATTTGGCCATCGGGTCATGTTCGACCAAGGTGTGTCCTCTCATTATCATTGCAAATGTCTTGACACTTGTAATCAGTGAATAGGTCTCTTTTAAGGGTGAAAAGTAACCACGGGGCTGTTTGATGACATGGCGTGTAAACACTGTAAACATGGACCAAAGGATGCAAAAGAGCCCAGAACAACCTTTGTGTGCCTGTAGTGTGTGTGTGTGTGTGTGTGTGTGTGTGTGTGTGTGTGTGTGTGTGTGTGTGTGTGTGTGTGTGTGTGTGTGTGCGCGCGCCGCGCTTTTGATGTGTTTTTGCGTGAAGAGGAAGTGACGATGGTGGTGCGTGGTTGCTGTTGTGCAGGTATTCTCCTTTCCTCAGGACTTCCTCATTCATCACTTTTCCCACCCAAGTACAAAATGGATTATTTTAGCTTTGACTTGACTTGTGAATGCATACTCATCACTTGGGCAACTTTTCTTCAGGAAAGCCATCTCTGGACGAAGCTTTTCTTGAAGTGTCAAACCTTCCATTCAACACTGTGTTTGTGTAGTTTGCGAATTAAAGATGACATCTACGTTGTTGGGAAATTCCAAGATCTCTCTTTCATTCTTTCTCTCTCTCTTTCTCTCTCTCTGACACTCACACAATAACGCAGTGTAAAAAAAGACAAAGAAGGAAAGTTTGCACATTATAAACATAACCCACATCAAAATTCACACATGCCTGTGGTGCTTGCAAGTTGTGTGTGTGTGTGTGTGTGTGTGTGTGTGTGTGTGTGTGTGTGTGTGTTTCTAAAAATAGAATTGGGCAAAGTAGGCCGGGTTCCTCCCTGCTCGGAATTTTCCTTTTCGACCTTACAAGGAGTTGGAAGTGAGGGGGGCCTACAAATACACAAACAGATACACACTCTCGCCTTACAAATTCACATCAAATTTGCTTATTAAAGAGTTTTGAAATGCTAGTGAACATGCTAAGAGAGGTTAGCAATGCTCATGAATGCCCCAACTGAAGAGATTGTAAAAATGCCAACAAGCATGCTAAGACAGGTTAGCAATTAGGGTTGCCATCTTTCAGATGTCCGTCTTTTATTTTGTCCAATATTGTCAAATTCAATGTTCACGTTTGTGTGTGACAGACGCATGGGACAATTAGGAATGGTTCAATACGGGACGCAACGTTTAATTCCCAATTAAAGGACGATTCCTTATTTTACGGGGATGGGTGACAAGCTTATTAGCAATGCTATTGAGAAGGTAATAGATGCTAGCAAGCAGTGACAATGCTAATAAGGCTTTATTAGCAATGCTAATTCACATGCTAACAGGTTGTATGCATGAGGTTGAACATGCAAGTTAAAGTTGTTGAAAATGCCAACCATGTGATTCTGTGCATTGTCTGTTTTGGACGAGCATGTGTGTGTAAAACAGACTATAGCAAGCTCTGCGAATCATAAGGCTTTTATTTGTGTGTATGTAGAGTGTTAAATGTGCATGATTGTTTTGTACCATTGGTGTACAAAACTTGACTATGCATTCATGTTTAATATATGTATTGAGTGGAAAATAGAAAATGGAAACTGTTGAGCTATTCTACTTGTTGCAGACTCCAGTCCCCGTTTTCCATTTTGCCTTTGGCCGCCATTTCACGACGCGCGCGTGTGTGTGTGTGTGTGTGTGTGTGTGTGTGTGTGTGTGTGTGTGTCTCCGTGTGTGTGTGTGTGTGTGTGTGTCTGCGTGTGTGTGTGTGGGGGAAAGAGAGAGAGAGAGAGAGAGAGAGAGAGAGAGAGAGAGAGAGAGAGAGAGAGAGAGAGAGAGAGAGCTGAACAAAGATACAGTGTGTTTGTGTGACATGCAAAGACACAAACAAAGTGAACGTTTTGATTGACTTTGATTTCTTTAAGTCAACGTGGAAAATTCGTGCGTAATTGCGCTCGTGTACGTGTGGCTGTATTGGAAGGACTTACACGAGTTGTTTTTATGGGGGTAAAAAACACATTTTTAAAATGAAATTGTCATTGACTTGATACAAATGTTCGTCTTCGTTGATGAATAATGTTATATCTTACATTTAAAAACGTTTTCAAACAATCGACCGGGAAGAGACGTGCGTGTCCGTGTCACCATCCAGTGGCCGGGCGCTGTATTACCCCGTGTATTAAATGCCTTCTGCTCATTTCACAGATTGCTAAACCAGTAGTTAAATACAATATTAGTATTAAACATTGAAAATGACGCTAAACCAGTAAGTGTATCACAACAAAAGAGAATGGATACATTTTTTCGTGAAACGCAGTTTATGGATCAAACAGTGACAAACATTTCATTTGTGGTAGTCACTTTAATGACGCTGGTGATCTTGGCAGCAAAACCCGTCCGCGTGTACGTGCTGAAACAGGTCCCAATGCTAATGAGGTCGACTAACATGTAATTGCGAGAAGCCACCAGGAGGTGGAAACAAAGTCTTGAGCATCAACGTTTCTCCAAATTTTCACTCCACCAAGTTGCACGTGAAAAATACTTGACTCTGCAAGTAGCACGATTAAAGACCAACAGGAAAATTCTGTAACATACCAGGCGTAAGTGTCCATCAAAAACAAGACCGAGTTTTTATGGCTAAACATTCATGACACTATTGTTCAGAACATTGCGCTTTAATAAAATAAACTACTTCAATGATTCCATTAAAGATGTATTGTACATACATGTGAAATTTACAAAACAATGTAGTTCGAAACAATTTAAAAACGATTAATTTTAAATGCAAATGTTTGCCAAATACACACAATCTGTTGCTACAAAAATGTCATGTATTCGAAAAGTTGAGAAATATAGTGCAGTTCAAAAGTGTACATGATTTACAGTAACTAAGAATTACGTTACGGATAAACAGTTGTGACATTATTCCCTTTGTTTATAGCAGTAGAAGCACTCATCATTTCTGCAAAAGAAAAAGTAAATAGAAGTGCACTCCATTGAGGTATTTCTCACATTTCCATACAAGACGGAACAGATTCGAGCATTTTAATCTTTGAGATGTCTGAAGTGCTATGTTGGTGAGTACAGTAGCTGCTCAAATTGTGTTGGAAGGCGGCAAAAGTACCTGAGGGAGCGCAGTGAGCACCTCCCCCACCTGCAGAGCCGCCCCCTCCCCCGAGGACTTGAAAACACTCCTCTCATTGTCATGCGTGCACTTCTTATGCGAACAAAGCACCACGTACACCGACGTTCCGCGCGTGCGTGCGTGCGTGCGTGCGTGTGTGTGTGTGTGTGTGTGTGTGTGTGT